CCACAGTCTAGATTTACATCCCCAGTCCATATCAGGGTCACAGATTAACCCCAAATACCAAAAGCTCGAAGTATATAAGCCTTTCTTACTCAGCATCCTCCAGCCTCCATCTCAGTGAGTCATATCAGTTCATGCCAATGACACAAAAAAGGTTTTCATCTCCTACTGCTTGCAGCTGGCATTAATAATTAAAGAGCACTGGAAATGTGCATGGCTCACTGCTGAACTCAGGCACATTCCTCTTCTGCCTCTCACTTACACTGCAGCAAAAAAAAGACAAACCTGGGACAAGTCCTGGGGACCAGGACACCATACCATGGCTGCCACAAGGGGAGAAAAGTTGAATGCATCTTAGGAAAGAGTACAGAATTTGTGCAGGAGTTGGGATGAACACACACTCACTCTGCACGGATGTCTCCGAAGTAGTAGGGCTCTCAGCAGTTGGCATCTGCAACTTCAGTTGCAAGAAAAAATATAGTCTTATGTAGTAAACTTAATGCACTGGCAAGAAATGAATATACATTTCCTACTGTTTAGTTGGGTAGATTTCTGATTAACCTAAAAAACTTCATGTATACACAGACCGCCGCATCACTGCTCAAATCCTCTCCAGATCACCCATCAATAAGGTGATGGCAGAACAAGAACCCAGAAAAGTGAGCACAGTTCTGATGCTAGGAAAATCTCACCATTTCATGCCACGCTTTGATTTTTCTCTTCTCACCAGCATTTGATTCATAAAAATACTTTGTCTCTTAGCAGCGATTTCTGATCTTCTTTGATCTGTGTGCTGAAATATTAGCATCCAGACAGCATTCTTGTATGACAGGCATTGCTTTAGACACTGATCATTGTAAGAGGCAGAAAGAAGGTCTCTTTTATGGGCTGCTGCTTTGCTTCAGTATGCAGAAGATTATCTTCTTGCTGATGCAGGCTGGCAGCACTAATAGAAGTGACTTCCGAGATGGGATTTGTGAAGCAAGTGCATAAATACTTTGGGGCCACAACAAAGTGGGCAACAGAGCTGCTTATTCTGACCTTTGCCAAACTGAAGACATACCTCTAATTCTCTTCTGACTCCACACATACTGTGCTTGGGTATTACCCCTTCTTCTGTCCCTCAAGGGAGAAAATTCACATGTGAATCAATTTAGGGGGAGTGTATCATAGTGATGACAGCTGGGATCATAACAGCCTCATACAGCAGGACAAATGCACATTCCCCTGGACTGGCTGGCTCTGTCTCTCTTCACCTTGGCACTTGGCACACTGGGAGCCTTCAGCTGAGCTGAGGAAGATGAAGCAGGAAAGGAATACCAGGCATAAAATATTGCCCTGGGCTTCCCATCTGGGGAGATATGTCAAGCTTAAGTCAGCACTGAATCTTGTATCTTTATTTATCTTACCATAGAAGCAATCCTGAAATGCTGATACTGAGTGCTTGTAAAGTGCTGAGCCTGTGCTTTTAGATGGATGGAAAAGGAGAAAATTACTGCACCTGCCACATTGTGTGACTTATTTGCTCTGCTTCTACACAGAGTTACCAGGATGCCTTGTGAGACCAAGCCATTAGGCCATTGCTGAAATAACTTTACTTTTTATCACGAGTATGACTTAGCACTTAAACATGAATCCTCGCTCAACAGGGGGCCCCTCGGAGGGTGGGAACCTGCCCTTCTGGTGAGGCATGGTAAACAATGCATTAGAATTCGGGCCTGTAGATGTGCTCCCAGCGCCAATAAAGGTCTGTGCTTTACTTTGCAGTGCATACTGTGATTTCTTTGAATCACTTGACCTGTAGGAGGTGCTGAGATTCAGTGAAAGCCCTAAAGGAAAATGTTATTCTCATGACCCCTGCTTCCCATCTCCACCCTCAGATTGAATCAACAGATGTTTGCCAGCCACCTCTGTTCTGTCTGCAGAGGAGATACCAGCCAGCATGTAATGTAGAGGCAGCGGTCACGAAGCCTTGAAAATCACCTGCAGCAGCTGCCTCCCAGTGCCACATTCCACCCGCTTTCACTGCTCTCCCAGCCTCAAACCACTGGGGTTTGGATGGCTTTGTATGGATCCACAGCAGAGTCCCTGAGACAAGGCTGCTGGGCAGAAATCCAGCGCAAGTGCTTCTACAAAAGCTTTCCTGGGTATCAAAACACTGAAATCCACAGCTCTCATCTCAGGTGTCTGTGAGGATGATTATAGTTCATCAGGGCTCCAGCCAGACCTATGTTTATTTAAGCTAGTAGCTGTTACCCCTCCACCTGTGATGCTTCCCAGTGCTCAGTTCCCACTTCCAGCCCAGCACTGGCTGCACGTAGCTTTGCAAGCTCCACACGAGCTGGTGATGGAGAAGCATGATTGCAGCCTGGGAGAGCTCAGCCTTTGCCCAGCAGAGGCCAGCACAAACACACGGTAGGCTGTGCTGGCAGGGAAGGGTTGTCTCTGCCTGGACTTCCTTTGCTCGAAAAGGTCTCTCAGCTTCCTGTAAGCCCTCATATCTTTTCTGCTTTAAAAGAGCTTTTCAGTGTGGGTCAGTAAGGCACTGACAGCCTGCTTGGGAAGGGACAAGTTGCCACGGGCCCAGCCATCACCCAGTTTCTCCACTTGTGTGCCCAGAAGCATCCCTTGAAGCAGCAAGCAGCATGGTGCTCTTGGAAGCCCGGCATGGCCAGATAATACTTACACAACACTTTAGAAATGCCACATGCCATGGAAAGGAAGTTCGGAAGAAACTGCATTGCAGGTAGGAGCAGACAATCAAAAGCAAACAGGATGGTTGCCCTGGCCACCACCCTGCCCTTTGCTCCTCTTTTGAGCTCATGAACAGTTCATTTGCTAACAACAGCGAGGGCCACACCAGAGGACAGGCACTTGACTACATAGAAATAAAATAGGAGGAGAAGACTTGAGTAGAGGCTAGGAGCCTGGGAAAGAGAAGCAAGAGACAGCACTGGTACAGAAATGAAGCAATCTCCTCACACAGCCTGATCAGGCTGCTTGTGCAGCTCTGAAAATAGCCTCAGGAAAAGATCTTTTTTTCTGGTCAAAATGGCTGACGGCCCTGAAAGCACATATTGTCCCTTGTTGCTCAGGTGATAAGCACAGTCTTCCAGGGGAACCATTCTTCATAACAAAGAGAAACTATATTGAGACACCCAACAAGCACCATGCAGATCATCTTCTGTTATCAGGGTTTTGAGGGCAAGACTGGGGCAAAGACAAGTCAGATTGGAAGATGCATCCTTTAGCACCAACATGCACTCAGTGCTTGGCCAAAACGGTGGAGGACAGAGTTGCTTGGAGGCCTTCCAACACACGGCCAGCCATGCAGAGGAAGGGCACCTTAACTGATGATGCCAAGAATGCTGTTTAGGTTCTGGAGAGGATGTTGTTGCAAACCCGTCTCCCAGTCTCACCGCTTACCACTTAATTTCGTTCTGAGTTGCAGTAGTAAGTCTGAGATGTTACCAGTGAGTAGTCTAGCAATTCTGTGGGCATCCCACAGAACCCCACCCAGCCTGCAGGATCACAGATTTCAGCAGCTCTGCAACAAAAATACTGGTTTTGAGGCTCTATGGGCATAAGTGATATACATACATGACCTTCTCCATCTGCAGCTAAAACCAAGCTTCACATTTTATAGCCATGGGGATGGAGGTTTCTCATTACTGTAGGCAATACTACACTTTAAGACAATGCAAGCTTTGCTGGAGCTCTGCTGCATCTACCAGTGAGGAGCATGAGCCTGCAGTGTCCTGCACAGCAAATCCCAAGAGGGATAGCAGTAGCTTTCTTCTCTGATTCTATGTAACCCAGGAAAAATGGGAGCATCAGTCCCATAAGGAACAGCAAGTGAAAAATCTGGGAGCAAACCTACAAGAAGCTGAAGGAGCAGAAGCAGAGCCTGTAAAAGCAAACTACACTAGAGCTGCAGCCAACTGTTTCTACCAGGCTTAAAGGGCCAAATCCCAAAGAACCAGTTTGGAAAGGGCCTTTGTAGACTGGGTGGCTCGAACCATCTCATGTACGGGGAATCAGCAGCTCTGGTTCTTATGGTTTGGTTATCCCCTCCCTAGTGTAAACCAGACAGAGAAAATGGGCACAGCCCAGGACATGACAGACTTTTCCTGACCACTCTTGAGGGCTATGGAATGGGCCAAAATCCATCTGGAGGTACACTGCTTCTCTGTGCATGAAAGAAGAGCATCTAGAAATTGAATCAATTAAAAGCCTATGTCAGCAGCAGTGCTTGTGGTACCCTGTGATGAAAAAGTACAGCTGATGCTCCTTGGAGATGGCAGCAGTCCTAAGCCAGCATTAGCAACAGGACCTCCACTGGCAGGTGGGCTTCAGCCTTGTGTTTAGAGTGGGACTGATAGGCAGACTGCTGGCTGGTGGAGTGTTTGGTACAGAGACCCCCACCTTATGGACCAGCTTGTGTTTCCAGTAGATAAGATGCAGCAGAACTAATGTACTATTCACTGACCTTTTTCATCTGCTTCAATGCATGAGATAACACAGCAGTCTTTGGTGGAGCTGTGACTACTGGGGAAGGGAAAACAGTGTAGGCTGCAGCTACGTGCTTTAGAGCAGGGTGCCTTGGAGCAAGGTTGCTGCTTCCCCTGTGAGCTCCAGCACAGCACCCTTCTCCACACTGCAGTACTCCTTCCCAGCTGTGCTGACCCACCAGCACACCAAAACCTACATGTGGGGTAACAAAAAATGGCAGCACACCTCCACACATGCAAGGGAGCATACACAGGTGTAGCCATTGACAGCAGGGAGTCAAGGGGGGCAGCAGGGAAGAGACCTGTGATGCTATGTGGCACACCAGACCCATTAACCAGGTCCAGCCCTGAAGCAAGGAGGGATGCATTCCCCCCCAGAACTACATCACCCCACAACCCATTGCTCCTAGCTCTACCATCCTGCTGCCTGCATCATTCCTGTGTCATGCTGGGCCTTAGGAGTGGCTCAGGTCCAATTTTGGAAACAAAGAGTTAAGCATTTTCAATCTTTATTTTACAAAAATAAACCAGTTTTGCCCTAGAACTCTGTAGCCCCCAACTTTCCCGTCTGCCCCACTCCGGTTCCTCTCCCTGGAGCTCCAGCTGTTGCATGCTGCAGCCAGGCACTTGCATGGAGGCTGCCAGTGCCACATAATCCTGCAAGCATCCTCAAGCAAGCATCAGGGAAAGGGGTTGCTGCCCTTTTGTGAATGCCTCCTCTTCCCAGGATCCAAGCTAGAAACTGCCTGAAGATGCCTCTCGGTGGCTCTGCCGTTTCTGCACAGGGAGAAGATCTTAGGCAAGTCACTCAGAGTACACACTTTAGGAAGGGATGTCTGTCCGTCCGTCCATCCATCTGTCCCTCTCCCTTGGATGGAAAAGTGAGCCCCATGAAGTTGCTTCTTGCAGTCGGTGGAGCTGGCAGGCTGTCATCCCACTGGCTGGCTCAGTGCTGGAAGCGTGGGGAGCTGATATGGGGTTGGTGGAAGGAGTGTGTGGCGTAAAGCACTTCTGGAGGCGGCGGCGGGCACGTCAGGATGGAGCAGAGCGGTTCGTGGGAGCTCAGCATCGAGGTAAAGTGCTTCATCTCCTCCGTCAGCTGCTTGATCTCCCGGCGCAGCGCAGCGTTCTGCCTCTCCAAGTCCTCGCTCTCCTGAAAGGACAGAACCACAGGGGCTTCCTCATCACGGGAGCTGCCGGGATGAGGTGGGGACAGGCGGGTGCAGCCCCCCGCCTCTGCCCCGCAGAGTTTCCGGAGCGGCATGTTTCCGGTAAACCCCGCGCGGGGCCGCGCCTGGGCAAACCCCCCTCCCCCGAGCAGCCGGGGCGGGCGGGATGCTGGCGGCCCAGTCACGCTCCCCGGGCCCGGCTTACGAGAAGTGACTGCGGCGTGCTCCCGCCCAGGCTTTCTCGCTCCCTCTCACGCACCGGCCGCTTCCCGGGCCCCCCGGGCGGGGGGAGGGCGCGCTGAATAACCGCCGTCTTTAACCAGAAAACCACCTGCCACAGGAAACCTGTCATTGCCCTGGAAAGAAAAGACTCACTGCTTCCTGCTAGCAGCCGGGGAAACCGGCGGCACGGTGGGGAGATGCTAGAGTCAGAAGAAAAGAGAAACTGAGGCCTCAGAAGAACTGAATTAATACTGTTGTTAATGAGAATAACAACAAAGGGGTTAATAATGATGCTCAGCCTTGTCCCAGTGATCCCAAGAGTACTGAAACTTTTGTTGCCGCTGCTGCTGCCGAAGTGCAGTCAGCTCCATCCAGCCTGGAGCATCCCCGGCAGCAACCGACGACGGAGCCAGCAGCCTGGGCAGGACCAGAGGAGGGAAAGAGAACACGGCAGCAGGCTCTGCAAATTCAGCCAACAGCTAAAGCGGGACCCAGCACCCCGAGACCCTGTAAAGCTGCACCGTCACCTCGGAAAAGCAAAGCTGGTGCTCCTCTGCTGCCGCGCTGACTTGTGACGGTGCCCGTGCTCTGCGCACAGGTTGAATGAAACGCTCGGCAGTTACAGCGGCTGTCACAAGAGGAGCTCACACAGCAAAGGAGCATCTCTGATGTGGCTAGGTACTTTGGAAATCATGACTGACGTTGAGCTCGGGAGCTGATGGGAGTCACCCAGGGGCCGGGAGCTCCAGCATCCCATGACTCATTCCCCTCAAAACACAAGCTTCAAAGCCCTGGGACAGACAGAGCTGCTGGCCTCTTTCATCCCACCAGAGCTCAAGCTGAGCCATGCTCTTGTGGGCAGAACCACATCAGAGAGGTGAAGTCCCTCATACGAAGCTGACCAAAGGGAAAGAGCACTTAGGGAATAAACTCAGGAACAGCAGGGGGGTCACTGACCACCAGGAACTGGAACAGCATTAGCAAAAAATTCTATCTATCCTCTACTTGCCTCCCTGCATTTTTCTAGCTGCCTGCCAGGATCCTTTCTGAAACAAACTGAGCTTAGCCCCTCTGCTGCCATCCACATGGCACAGCAAGGACTGTGTGCTATCAATGCTAGCTGAGCAGTAGTAATCTTGTAAGCCAGTGGTTTGTCATCTGCTCTAAGATCAGAGCAATTTTTCTTGATGCCCAGCTAGGCATGATTTTCCTGGGGGAGGATCAGAGTCCATATCCACTTCCAGGATTACCTTGGAGAGTCTACTGGCTCCCAGGAAGGGGTGCCTCTACAACCCTCTCAAGCACAGTCACCCAGACTATCATTGCTGACAGATGTAATACAATCAGACCAGAGCCATCTCAGCTCCAGAAGGATCATCACCTACTGAGAAAAGAGTGAAGTCTCTGTCTTAAACCCAGCTCCAACTATGGACTGAGGGTGCTAAATAAGGAGGAAGGTTGAGGACCATCTTCTCATGAATTCTGCCCCCCCCCCCCCCCCCAAATGGAGATATGGGGGAATATGAAGACCACTAAGTCAAAGGATGGTTTTTTGAACATGAGGTCAACTACTGCACTTTTTGACGGGCAGCTGAACCCAGCGCAGGGATAAAGATGGCCCCTACCCACTGCAGGTTTTGTGTTCTGCATCCTGCTTGCCAATGGGCCAAAACACATGGCACGGTACTTACCAACATGCAAAATGCAAAGGAGCTCAGCCCCTGTGCTCCAACACTAACCACACACACACACTAAACACACACAGCCAGAAGTGACCGTCCCTCCTGAAAAGCAGATGTCAAATTCTTCATACTAGGAAGAGCCACAGGAATGCCCGTGGTACCACAGGAGGAGAGCAGGGCAGCAATGCAAAACCAGAGAAGAAATCCACGCTAAACAACAAGAAAAGCCTTCAGGAATGCTACCATGGAGAAATATAAAAATACTGGAAGATTATTAGTATTTAGGCTGCGGAGCCTGTCAGGGAACAGACCAGAGGACATGTCCCATTCAGCTCCACATTGCAGCATCATCCATACTAATGAATATAAATCTCAGAAAAGCATCCTTGTACACTGGTGCACCACTGCCTAAGTGATGGCATGCACAAACCTGGGGAGAACCAGGCCGGGTGAGCCTGTGTTTTCAAAGAGCTTCTGAGCAAGTCAGAAGAGGTTAGAAAAGGAAATCAGTTATGCCAGACCAAGAGATAAAGATGGATTTAAAGTAGCTCTAGCTGCAAAACTAAATGCTTTAGTGGCAGTTGTCCTGGGCTGTGTGCTCTCGCTGTGAGCACTGACTTGTACATCCTGCTCTGGCTTCACTTTTCCTGTCCTGGACAAACTGAGCATCCCTGCTTCAATTCCCCATGGGAGATGCATGTTGTCCCCCTGTGAGCCCTCAGCACTGGGGACAGAGAAGGATGGGAGTGCTCACCAAGTGCAGTGTGTCTGCTTTCTGGGTCTGCCTCAGACGGCTCTTCTGGGCAGCAATGCGATTCTTCTCCCTCCTTTGGACTTTCCTCATGTCATCAGAAGAGTCCTAGTGAAACAAGGCATGGAAATGACTGGGCATCCCCTCCCTTGCCATGTTCATGCAGGGCAGCAGGTGGGAAGGGGACACAGCAGATAACATAATTGAAGCACAGGACATGGGATACACACCCTTAGCAGCAGGATAAAGCCATACCCCAGGGATGCATGATGCTTTTGGCATCCCCATTGCCAGGAGGGGCAAGTCTGATACCCTTGGTCATCCTAGTAAGCTGGGAAATGACCACTCTTTACCAAGAGTCAGGCCTGCAATATGCCTTGAAAGACAAGAGCAGGAATCACTTCCCAGAATAATTCGGATTCCTTGTACAGAAAACCTTTCCCTTTCCTGTCTCTCTGGGGGGATGTGGCACTGCAGACATTCCAGCTCCTTCACCAAGCCATCTTTACAGAGATTAAGCCTGCGTTTTCCTCCTTTCATCCCATTAGGTTCCTCCTGCTCTCCATCACTCTCCTCCTTCAAGCTTTATTTGTTGTAGACCCTTACAGTGCAATGTGGCCTCTGCTTTGTTTAACTAGACAGACTCAGAGCTTTTGGTTTTCCCCAGATCTCATTTGCTCCAGCTCTTTGATCTCCGTGCTTGCTCTATTCTGGAGTCCCTTGGTAGCAATGCTTGCAATGCTGACTGCAACGTTCCCAAGACCCTTGGGTAGGGAAGAGCACAGGTCTCCAGGCTCCAGATCACGAGCTTCGTGCAGTAGCTGTTCTCTGCTGAGATCTGGTCCTGCTGCTGCCTTCTGACAGTTGAAACTGTCACACAGACTCTTTCATCTTCTATTTTCATATTGCACTGCCTCTTTGGCGGACTCTTTAACATTCACACCACCACTTCTCCACAGGAATACAAGACTCAGCCACAAGAGTTATCTACCCAGCCCATCAGTCTGTCCACATCCTCTCCCCCCTTCACCCCCCCAGGATCTTTTCTTTTCTTTGAACTTAACCATTTTATCCTTGCCTACAATACCCTACAAATGCCTCAGATACAGCAGCTCCCATATCCTGCACCAAGTCCATTTCCTATCCTGTGCTTTATCGCCTTCCCTAGCAGGATGCCTTCCCATCCCTGATTGCAAGCCCAAACTCATCTGCCCTGATCCTCCCCAAGATTTCTGAGCAAAGTTTCAGATACTTGCCTGTTTGTAGCCCTAGAGAAATGAGAGATGACAGGTATAATAAAGTTCAGACAGAAAAGGCAGTGGAAATACCTCAGGCTTGTGTCAGTATCTGCCAGCAGACAACCTACCATTAAGGTACTTACTGCAACAAACCAAAATCCCTCTGTCAAGCATTACTGAGAAGAAAAATCTCCGAGGCTGAACAAGAAGGAGAGCAGACCCAAAGTGGCAATCCTTTTCTGGGTCCCAAGTGCTATCCACAGCAGCAGGAAGCCAGCAGGCTTCTCCTGAGCCATCCTGTCCATGGTGAGGAGGTGCACACTCAGGCTCCTCACCAAAGCACTGACTCTCACAGATGCTTCATGCTTGCTGCCTCCCCAGCATGTACCGCAGGGCTCACCGTGCCCCAGGGGTCCTGGCCCTGCAGTTGCCCCTGGCATAGCACTAGGTAACCAGGCCTCCTCTCGCCACCCGTACCCAGGTCCATGGCTGAGGTTCCTGCCAGGACTCTTGGCTCGGCCTGCATCCCTCTCACCACAGCTGTTCCTAGAAAGCCCCACCATAGTGTGCTCTGAAAACGCTAGTGGTGGGTGCCACCCTGCCTCCTGCCCACCCGGAAAGACTCTCCCTCCAGGGAATGCTGAGGAAGGGTTCCCACTTTACCTGCTTGCTGGGAGGGGGAGACTGGCTGAAGCTGCTGGAATCACTGCTGTCGGAGCTGTGGGGCATGGCTCCCGTCTCTGGTTCCCAGGGCCTCTTCAGCTTCCTTTGTACCCTAGGGATGCCTGCCTTCTGTCTTGTTTCCTTTCCCTCTCCCCTGCCCAAGATGGCCCTTGGCTTCCCAGCTCTTGCCCGTCCCAGAGGCACACTGTCCTCCAGGCCTGTGCTCTGCCACTTTCTCTGCTCTCCTTTCTGAGCCTCTGCACCTTCCCTTTAGGTCTCAGCCTCCTGTGGTTTCTCAGAACCTCAGGGATGCAAGCTGAAAGTCACGTGGCCGGAAACTTTAAGGCAAAGAAGAAAAGTTACAAAAGAAAAAAATAAAAAAATAATTAAAAAAAAAAAAAAGCACATCTGGGAAAAATGAGCTTCAAAATAGCCTGAAAACCCCCCGAAAAACACCCTCGGGCAGTTGAAAAACAGCGAGATGGGTTTTCTCCGAGATAAACAGCAGAGATGGAAGGGAAGAAAAGCCCCAGCTCTGGCTGTGAAACCTGGACCCTCAAAGGAGGGCAGTGAGGAGGAGGAGGTGCTGCCAGGAGCCCCAGAAATTCCAGGGGTACCATGCACTGTGCCAGCCCTGCGCCGGCAGGAGGTCATTCCAGCCCTGGGAAGCCTCCACATCCCAGCCCAGGGGCGAAACTCCCGGGTAGCCTCCCACCTCCCCAACACCACTGACACAGGTGCCAGGGAGGGACGGGAACCCTCAGCACGTGCCATGCCAATACTGGCTGTGCCCATGGCTCGCATGTGTAAGATGAAGCACTTTGTACTTCCAGTCCCACTAAGGAGAAAGGCTCAGGATTGTAGAATGTTTGGACTGGTTTCAGTAGGACTGGTATTTTCTGTGAGGCAAAGATTTTTAGTGCTTCAAAACATTCATTAGTACCTCACCAGTGCCCTGTAAGGGGAGTATCAACCCTGGTACACAAAGTACTGTAAACATAATGGCTTATGGACCCGGAAGCTAAACCTAAGACCTAATTCTCACTCCACATCATTGTATGAGCTTAATTACACCCCAGGGGATGCAGACTGTCATGCTCCCCTCTATCCCCCTCTCACCACAGCTGTCAATATACAACACAGGGTAGAACTGCTGGGAGACAGGACCATTATGGCAGGTTGGAGGTTATTTCCTTCCTATTCTTCTGCTGGCACCCAGCTTGGGTATGGCCCATGAAGAAGGCAGCAAAAAGAAGCTGCTTTGCAATGCTTTGTTTCTCCCCTGGTCTATGCTATGTGAGACTACACCCATCCTTAGTAGAAGCCTCAGTAGTCCGAGGACGTGCGAGTAAGTCCCTGAGACAGCAGTGCTTCAGGAGGTCCCCCAGGATACGCCATGCTAGTGGCTGTGGATGTGACAGTGCAGGAGCAGGGAGTGTCAAAGCAGGAGCCATTTCCAGTCTATCTGCTCCTGGCACACAGCCAACAGGATGACCCAGGGCTACAAGACAACAGGCTCTCCACCCACAGACAGGAGCACATGCCTTTGGAGCCACTAAGTTCTTGCATGCACCATGAAGAGAATATACAGAAACAGACATGAACCCATCCTCAGTAACCCACTTCTGTGGAAAGCAGCAATTCCAAGTTCCCACCTGCATATCAGTGTTTTGGTTGAGTTTCTTCTGCCTCAAGCAGGAGCAGCAGCAGGGCATCAGCACTTGAGATGCTGTTGTCATCAGGGCAAAAGCATGAGTAGCTTTCAGTTTGCATCCTTACTGCAGCACAGAAAGCGCACGTTCAGGGCACAGTGCAGACTTGCATGAGCATTGCTGGCATTTCTTCCCAACTCTGACACTCATGGAGCCAACACGGAGGCAAAAGCAAGAGCTGTGCTGGGCTGGCTATGGGCTGGGCAGCTCAGGGAAGTCACCTGGCCTAGCTCCAGAAACAAAACTGCCCCATTTTGGCCCATTTCCTTTATGAGAAACATCCCGTGTCACTGCATTATCCACTGTTATCTAAACACTTCACAGCCTGGAGTGTGTATT